TTTTAATTTTTGTCGGTTGATGGACATGTATTTATCATAAGCATGTTTAGACTCTGTTGCTGAGGATTGACCCACTATATCCATTGGAAATTTGTTCTAAGCTTCCATTGTTTTTCTGTGAAATAATACTTCCTTAATATTATTTTTGAACTTCCCTCCTGTTAGTTTAAGGTTCTGCCTGTGTTCTTTATTTTTGTTTAATATTCAAAATGCTGCCTTCTAAAACCTTATTGACATCCTTAATATATTTAAAGGGTTTAATCATGTGCCACTTTTCAATTCTATCCTAACTGTACATATTCATTCCCTCCAATGTCTTCTGATATGTCTTGTCCTTCAAACCTAGCACCATTTTGCTTGTCTATCTTCAGAACTGGATACAGTATTCCAAGTGAATCTGACTAAAGCCCTATGTAGCAGGATTAGGACCTCCTTTTTTCAGCTGACTCCTTTGCTCAGTACCCCAAAATACACTCCCAGTGTAGTGTTTCGGCTTGAAGCTAACATGTCAATATTAAGACTCAGTCCTGGACTAGGATTCTAACCTGATACCTTTGCTGTTGTGAGACCATTACTAATTTCATTGGCACCATAGCTATATAGCAGAACTTAGCAGCCTCGACCTCCCTTCCTGAATATTTAGGCCAATTAAACCTGGAACAGTAAAATCAATAGTAAATGAGATTCAGGAACATCGATCGTCAAAATATTATCTCCAGTATCTTTGAATTCTATTGCCAAATGTCAGATAGCCACTAGCCCTCTACTTCAGACCATCTATACAATCTAACCCTAAGCAAATAGAGATGAGCCTTTTCCAGAGTCCACTTTGATGCCTTCCCATCAGCTGCATTGGTGGGAAGATTTCATGGGACTCCTTATTTTCAGTAACTTTGTCCTTGTCTTACTCATTTTCTCATACAGTGTTCTTTTTATGATGCCCCAAAAAACTACAATCATTTTCAAATACAGTGACCACATTGATAAATTTAATGTTTATTATTTTTAAGGAATGTTAATCCCCCACTCACATACCAGGTGCCCAAATATCTTCACCAAGTTATACAACTGCACAAACTTTTAAGTAGATATGTCATTTTATTGTCTTGATTCTCCCCCCAACCCCTCCGTTTTTTCCCAATAATGAATAGCTGTGTCAAACTATCTTTCTTTTTCATTTTAAAGGTTGGTCAAACACTGTAATAAAGATGTTTATTTCATTAATAACTGATATTAGCATAACAAAGAAAATAGAAAACAGCATCAGTGAAGTGTGATTTTTGCTGTAGCTTTGGAGGCCTGGGTTACCTATTTGGCTTGTAACTGATTGCCTTACCAATATGCTGTAACACAAGATTTCTTTACCTTATACCATGTGTAGCAAACTGCCTGACTAAAAATAACAAGGAGAGAATGGGACAGAAAGAGGCAGGAAAGTTTGCTACATGGACATAATAAATTTACTGTGTACATCCCTAAAATATTCACAATAAGATAAGACAAGCCAAATTGTTTTGTCCAACTCCTGAATCACAAAGTACACTCCTTTTAGGGGGTCCTATTATCTGCCTTCCAGCAGAGCAGATGGGAAATGTTAAATTGAGCGTGGAAGAAGGCACTGCAATGTTTAGGCAGTTCCAAAGTAAAGAGACATTTGGCCGATTGTGGACTTTGTTTCAGATTTAAATTCCAGTGTTTACAACTGTAAGAAACTAATTCAACTAATTTTGTGATTCCAGTCTAAGACTTGTTGTTTAAGAAATGCCCTGACTTGATCATATAATTCTATTTTTTAAAAAAGAAGTATATGTCGTACAATACCAACAGATATCAAAACAAAAATGAAAATTTAAAATCAGCTTCTATTCTTCAGTGGCTAAATCTTAACTTGATCATTCTAGGATGTCTTCTTTTAGATCATACTTGAGTCTATTCAAATTTGGCACACTGGGAGTGAATGCACCAATTCCCCAGTAGCTGGAAGAATGAAATTTTTATTTATTTATTCATTTGTCAAGCAATTATAAGATAATATGTATAAGTATAAATATAGTTATGAATACATGAAATGGATATATATAAGAAAAATAAAAAGAAACAATAGGACAGGGACAGTAGGAACGCTTATGCACGCCCCCGACAGACCTCTTAGGAAAGGGGTGAGGTCAATAGTAGACAGTCTAAGGTTGAAGTTTTTGGGGTTTGGGGAAGAAACCACAGAGTCAGGCAGAATATTCCAGACACTAACCACTCTGTTGCTGAAGTCGTATTTCCTGCAATCCAGTTTGGTGCGGTTTACCTTGAGTTTGTATCTATTGTGTACTCTTGTATTGTTATGGTTGAAGCTGAAGTATTCATTGAATTGCAGGCATATTGGGAAAATGTAGAAACACACATATTCTTCCTAGTTCTAGCAATCCCTATGAGACACTCTAGTTTCCAGGTTTGTTACAGAGTTTTAATTTACTAGACTCTCTCAATCTGCGAGTCACTGCTAAAAGGAAGCTGCTATACTATTCCCACTATTTTTTCAAGCTGACAAACCATCTATTTACATTCTGCTTCCTCTGTTACAGGCATTTATAACTGCAAATTTCAGACCTGGATACTATTTCTCCTTCCATATTTTATTCTTTACAGGGATGTGTGATGTGTGCATGAAATTTCTAAATCTCATTTAATTCATCTACTCAGTGGGGATTTGGATCAATCTCTGCCATCTTGGTCTTCCATCCAGAATGTCAGGAGTTGAGGTTTATTCTATCTTTTATCTATCTAAGGCACTTTTATCTATTAATATACTATCATGCAATAGATAAGTTGTCAAAATTGATTATATTATTAATTGTGATAAGTAAAGACATTCATTTGTACTTTGGTCAGAATAAAATAGCTAGTATGTATCACTAAGTACTGAATGTAACGTGCACAGATAATGCTTTGCTGGGGACTTCAAAAATAAGGTACAGAATTGAATGTGTTCTTGTGTAGTGTGTGATATTTTGCAAGGCCACAAATTCCGAAGGGTAGAGAAAGATTATCACAGAAATATAGAAGCAGTATTATATTATCTACAAATCACAATAGTTCCTTCAGCTTCAAAGCAGAATCTGATTGTTTTTCTATCTGTAATTGATACATTCAGACAAAAATAATAAAGCAACCTGACTAATACTTAAAACAGCTCAAAGACAATTAAAAACATATTTCATTTACAAGGCACTTCCATCAGGTATCAAATGGCATTCAGAAAGCAACATTTAAGTTGCTTCCAGTTTATCTTGCACTCAAAAATATGTATCCCAGAAGTATTAACGATGTTCTTTAAAATCATACTTTCATGAAATGTTTTGTTTAGAAACATTTAGCTGAAAAAAATGAATGGTATGCTGTAAACAGAATGAGAATTGCCCACACACAAAAAATGAAAAGACAGCTAACATTAGTTAACTCAGAAAAATCCTTTCCCTCTCATCCCTCTTGAGTCTCAGCAAACACCAATTTAAAATGAGTCTTGTGTAACTCAAATTTGGACTTTCCTTAGGGCAAACACTAAAAATGACCTCAATTCTAATTTACCTACCTTGAAACATTGGCAATAGCATTGGAAATACTATCTTTACTCAGATGGAGATCTGGCAATAAATTTAATGATGTTTGACTTCAGATAAATGTCAGATAAATGTAAGTTGACATATAAAACTTTTAACATAGAAGTTAAAAAATGAGGAATTTATGAATAATTTAGATTGAATCAGGTAGCCCATTTAGAATTGCATAAATGAAAATGCTATAAGATTTATTAATCATTTCTTCTAAAATTATTGATTTTATGGGAGGCAAATTAACATGTGTATATTCCTCATAACCTATACTTTCCAGACCTCATATAAATTGCTAAATATTTTAAACTAGGTTGCTTGTCACTAAATGGTATAGGTCTCCTGCTTGAGCAGGGGGTTGGAATAGAAGATCTCCAGGTCCCTTCCAACTGTTATTCTGTATCAAGTAAAATTATGCAGTCAAAACTGATGTAATTTCTAATACTGCTTTATTAATATTACCGAAAACATTTGGCTACTTCATAGAGAACTGAATAATCTTATACATTTTTAAATGTATAATGTGAATACACTTTTTGGTAAGCAGGAATTAAGTCCATTGCTATCAGACAACAAAAAAGAGGTAAGAGCAAGAAAAGAGATTGCAAATATTGTGAAACCTGGAATTATGCATCACATTGCTTTTGTAAATAGTGAGCACCAGAAAGGATTTAGAGTTTGAGAGTTTGTCCTCTCAGTATCTAAGTCCCTTTATTAAAAGATTAACATCTTCACACACAAAAGAGAGAATGAAGGGGAAAATAAGACAATAAGGTAATAGTCCGAATGTCAGTATAGAAATAACATCAGCAGCAATTTCTGAACAGTAAACCTGGATGATAATATATTCAGCCTTTTAAAATCTGAGCTTTTAAACAATGATTAAGTCAGCTTCACCATTTATGCTTTATTACTACAATCTTCTCACTAAAACATAACTTTATAACCTTTAGAATATTCCAACATCAGTCTCTGACATTTTCACATAGATTCGCTAAAATACCATTGTCTGAAAGCCTGGAAGCTACTTTCATTTTGTGCAAAAAGTAGGTTTAATGAATCTACTGAGCTAAGTCTTGATTCCATGCCTAGATCCTAACTGTATATTTCACAATATGAATGATCTGAATGAGCAAATAATGTGGCCTTCCAAACTCAGAAAAGATTCCTAGAATAGACATTACTTCAAATAAGAAATTTTTGAAGTAGCACTGTATTGCATTGTTTTGACCAACCCAAAGAATTTAAACCAACTTTAATGCTTGTTTCAAAGAAAGATTATATAGTATATCAAAACCAAGAGTTTTGATTCTGCTGGAAAACCAATTTATGATAGCTTCTTTTTCAACTTCCTTTTAAGTTTTCTTCAGTATTATAAATCCACATTCTTCTACTTACCTTAAATTCTGAAGGTCTGATTTTAAAAATTGTGCCATGTTCTGGGAAGGATTACTTCCATGAGGATGACATCTGAAACCATCTTCAACAACCAAGTAATAGACTCTCTGAATAACCACTTGGACTTGGATTGCAGTGCTTTCAGTTGTCCCTTGCATCTCCACAACATCAAGAAGAGAATCATTCAAGGCAATAACTGATACCTTGGATTCAATATTGAAACAATTTTCTGTACTTTTAGAAATCTTCATATTGGAACAGGAAATCTATTAAAAAAATCCTCGAATTACTACACGAATTATTGAGAAATTAATTATTACATTTTTTAGAAGTCCAAAGGCCAGACTATCGAGGTTAGTTCTTCCTGGTTTACCAAAGTTGGAGAAACAGTTTCCAACATCAGTGATGAATATGGCAACAATAGCCTCAAAACACAGGGTTATAAAACTGGGTTCATACTCATTTATTGAGAAGTGAAAGGCACACAATGCTTCCATCTTGCTGCCTTTAACTATGTTTTTCAGAAATGTATTCCATAACTGGTTGGATTCCATCTTTATACCAAATCAATTTATGTTTTGGATAACACTGAAAAAAAATTAGACTATATACATTTCTAAAAATAGAGAAGCATATTTGTTTTTATGAAATATCCCCATATATTAAATTATAACATAAATTATGTTCCAAGAAAATTGAAAGCATCAAAGAACAATCATTATACAGATAATAAAACATTATTCTATTGGAAAAAACTTTAACAGGAAGGTTTAAGAGGAAGACTAATGAAGTCCAAAGCACTTGGTTCAAGCTTAGCATAAGAGAAATATGAAACTAATGGAAGATGATTACTATAATGATTTATTAAATTTGTAAGATTATTTAAAGCAGGGTAAAATCCAACCCAAGAGTGGGCCTTCAGCCAAATTCCATCTTTGTTAATATTTCCTCCGTTTAGAAAGAGGAGTCCCTTCCCTCTGTGCCATGGGTACTTTTACATATACCCCAGTCAGTGGGCTTCAAAACCCACAAGAGCCAGCACAACCACACAGGTTCCTCAGCATACACAAGGGCTTAAAGGCTAGTACACTGCTCACTACTCTGCTTTTTCCCACTTCTATTACACCTCCTCCTACTGCTGCTCCTTCAATTATTACTCCTTATATAAGTTTTACTGCTAGAAAACAGTATCTCTATCTGCGCTTTGAGCTTCTTCAGGCTATTTTACAAACACTCACAAATACCATGACCCCAGATACCTCTCTGTTTTGCTTTTATAATCAACAAATGCCGTCCAGGCTAGGGACAGGACTTAGAGGTAGGTAGTCTGTCCTCTAACAAAGGACAGACTTTTTCCTTTTACAAGTAGTAGTCAAATCTTTGTTGCCACCTGCTTCTATACAGAAAAAAACTCATTCCATTCAGGAAAAGTAGGAAAAAATAACTCCCTATCCATTTTACATGAAGTGTCTTTATGCAAGAAAATGCATGGAACCGCTAGCTCCTATGTCCTTCTGCAGAAGTCAAGATATTCTTTCAGTAATATGATGGTTCTGCTTTCTACATTCTCCTACATAGGCAGGGTTTTAAGAAAGGGACAGGTTTGTTCAGGCCTCTTTGAGCCACAGAAAATCAATAGATCTGCCAGTACTACTTTAGACTAATTATCCTGTAGTAAATTATTCTGACTACTTATTATCCTAATATATTTTCTATCTATAGGAAAGAGAAAAGGTCTGCAAGGGAAAAAATAAGATCATAAACACAGCTCTAAAACACTCTGTAAAATTGTTTATGTTTTTTTTAATGTAACTGTTCGAGAAAGCAGAGAATTCCTTCAAATGAAGAGATCAATAAATACATATTTGAATCAGAAGGAAGTGTTAATTCCTGGTAAAGAAACCATACTTTGGAGAAATGGAGTTTATAAACACATGCTCAATGTTGAAAATTGTATATTTAAAGCTTCCCAATTTACCTTATATCTTTCTCTTACAAAATGCATTTGTATTTATATTTAATTTCTCCAAACTGATTACCAGTAATAAACAAAATACATGGTGATTTCTTTAAAATATATCACAAAACAATACATTAAATTTTTGGAGGAGAATAACAAAAGAAAACTTTCTCTAAATCACATGCTTTTTTATTGCAACTTACAGTGAATATAAACACTCTACACACCCCTATCAAAATCCCAGGTTTTTGAGATGCAAAAAAAATCACATCAAGATAAATCATTTCATAATTTTTTCCATCTTTAATATAGCATAACGCTACCACTACCAAGTTTCACTGTGAGTATAGTGCACTTTTGGTGATGCACATTTATATTTATGCCAAACATACTTTTTGGAATTGTGGCCAAAAAGTCCAACTTAGTATCATAAGACCATATTTTTGTTGGATTTGGTATAGATTTTTGCAAACTGTAGCCACACTTGGATTTTTTTTTTGAAGGAAAGGCTTTTGTCTTGCCACCCTACTCCACAGGCCAGACATATGAATAATATGGAAATTGTTATCACATGTAGTACACAACGTAGTACTTGCCAGATATTCCTGCAGCTTCTCTAATGTTGCTATAACCTCTCGCCAGCTTTTCAGGCCACTTTTCTTCTTTTTAGTCATGTTTGAGGGACATCCAATTCTTTGTAATGTCAGTGTTGTGTCATATTTTCTCCACTTGTTAATGACTGTCTTCACTATGTTCCACAGTATATCCAAATCTTTGGAACATTTTTCATACCCTTCTCCTTCCAACAAGGAGATCAGTTTGATGCTTTGTAACCCTTTTGTAGCCCATGTCTTTTGCTGTCAGGGGCAAATGAATACAGGTAGTCCTCCACTTATAACAACTGAGTCCCAAATTTCTGTTGTTAAGTGAGACATTTGTTAAGTAAACTTTTTCCCATTTTACGACCTTTCTTGCCACATTTGTTAAGTGAATTACTGCAGTTAAGTTAGTAACAGGTTGTTAAATTAATCTGGCTTCCCCACTGACTTTGCTTGTCAGAAGGTTGAAAAAGGTGCTCACATGACCCTGGGACATTGCAACCTTCAAAAATACCTGCTGGTTGCCAAGTGTCTCAATTTTGGTCCTGTGAGCACGGGGAGGCTGCAGTGGTCATCAGTGTGAAAAATGTCAAAAGTTACTTTTTTCAGTACTATTGTAACTTTGAACAGCTACAAACTGTTGTAAGTCGAGGACTACCCATATATGTAAAAAAAAAAATCCTACTAGATCAGCTGAACTTTATATGGTCTTGATCAGAGTCACCTTAATTGATGGCAGGTATGTACTGACTACTATCTGACATTAGTTTGAGTGTGACTGATTAATTCTGAACATAAGAGACATCGCTACTTATAAGAAGGTGTGCACACTTATGCAATCACATTATTGTAAGTTTTTTATTGTTATTTTTGCCCCTAAAAGATTTCAGTTTGTTTTTCAAACAGTTTTTCCCTGTTAGCAAAGTGCTCGCCTAGAAACTGTGAAGACTGTGTTCACTCCCACCTTAGGAATGAAAACTAGCTGGGTAATTACAGGTCAGTCACTGTGAGGCAAACCCACCTCACAGGGTTGTAGTTGTGAGGAAAACAGGAGGAAGGAGTATTAGGTATTTTTGCCACCTCGAGTTACTAATAAAGTAATAAAGATGGGATTAAAAAATTGTAACAAATAAATAAAATACATAAAGTCACAAATGACAATCCCATGACCACAGGCCTGTGAATGGCTAGAGCTATGAGAACCAGTCACAAGTACAATTCTTACAGCTTTCCCCCCCTGAATTTGAACAGTTGCTGAACAAGTGCCCATTAAATGAAGACCACTTGTACTAGTTGCGGGAGAAAAATGCTTGTAAAGATTATATGAAACTTGTTCCCTTTCAAACATACAAATTTGCTCAAATGGAAACCTATACAAATTCTTGTGTTCATTACTTTCAAAGATTTATTCATCAATTTATTACAAAGCATGAAATCACAAAATAAATCTTACCTGATTCACTGTAGGTATTAAAGAGCAATTGTCTTTTATATCAGATAAATTAAATATCCCGGCTAAAGATACATTCCTTTTAGCAAGCACCGGCTCTTGCAAGAGGGGCTTGTCCATATCAGTAGATATATCTGTTGATTCTTTAAGAGTGACCTTTTGACTGAAATATGTATTCAGAATAACTGGAATATTTTCATTCTGCAGAAAGAGTTTTTGCCTGAAATAATGGATACATTTTGTTAGTTTTTAAATTATTTTGAATGATAATCTACTTCAATTTTATGTATCAATGGCTTTCCTGCATTTAAACACAATGAATGAAAATTATTTGTTTTAACAATATGAAGGTATTAAAATAATTTATTTTAATTAATTAGTTTAACAAAATAATTAATAATGAGCTCCATTTTAGCTATCCAAAAACGTAAAATATTGACCAAATGACACCAGGTAAAAGATAACTGCACTTCAACATATTTCAAATTTGTATCCTAAGATTTCCTTGCTCCCTAAAAAAAGCACTTAAAATCATAAAGTTAGCACAAATGCTAAGAGTAATTACAGAGGTTTTATTCGTACTTTAATTTTTTAAAATACAATTCCATATATGCAAAATGTCATATTGTGAAAAGAATGCGTACAAATAATTTTAATGAGATGTGACTCTACATCAATTGTGGATAAACCCAGAATGTTGCAGCCAATTACAAGCAATTTGAATTAAGAAAATTTTAATAGAGTGGTCATTCAGACATTTAAAAATAGCATGACACATTTTTTCCTATGTTTAATATTCTATATTCAAACTTTTCTTATAAGGCAATAGTAGCAAAGAAAGAAAATTAAGATTATGTTTAATTGTATTTAGGTCCTCTGCTTAGAACATTCTGGCATCTCTTATCAGAGAATGGTGGTTTTTTGCTACTGTTGGAGACTAGCATATTTTCAAACCAGCACATGAAGAGGCCACTGCCTTTTCTCCCCCCAAAAGTACAATACTGAGAAATGGAAACCAGTATAGCACATGAATAGATTCTATCATTAAGTTCTTGACTTACAACAGTTCCTTTAGTGACCCTTCAGTTACAATGGCACTGAAAAATGTAACTTATGACCATTTTCACAGTTATGATCTTTGCAACAGCCCCGTGATCATGTGACCAAAATTCAGATGCTTGGCAACTGGTTCATATTTATGACTGTTGCTATGTCCCAAGGTCACAAGCTTTTTGCGACCTTCTGACAAGCAAAGTCAATGGGGATGTTAGATTCACTGAATTGGATTACTAACTTATCAAGTGCAGTGACTCATTTAACAATTGTGGGGCGGGGAAAGGTCATAAAATGGGGCAAAATTCACTTAACAAATGTCTCACTTAACAACAGAAATTTTGGGCTCAGTTGTAATCGTAAGTCGAGGACTACCTGTATTCTGATATATACCAAGGCACTGTCCAGGATTCTTTAGAACATAAAAGCATGTAAGTTTTAAGAAATAAGTATCAGTTGTTGTGTATGATAGCATCATTTTTATTTATACATATACCAGTACACACACACACAAACATTAAGAACACTTTTAAAATCCAGCCTATGTCTTTATATCTATTTTTCATAAGATCAGTTAAAATGGATTAATTTATATCTACTATTTTCTTAAATTATGAGGGTTACACTCTGTATCCTAAAATTGAAGCATAACGGGCTATATCATCCAAATATATGAATGCCTCTAGTTTATTACAGTAACAAAAACATTGATTTTACTAGAAAATAATTTCCTTCAAAGCATCCCTCTGCATATTTTGGAGCTTTCCTGGATTTAAAGTGACTTGATCGATGTAGCAGAATAACAGAGTTGGAAGGGACCTTGGTGGTCTTCTAGTCCAACCCCCTGCTAAGACAGGAAACCCTATAACATTTCAGACAAATGGTTGTCCAAATTTTTGTTTAAAACCTCCAGTGTCAAGCACCTACAACTTCTGGAGGTAAGTCATTACATTGATTAATTGTTCTAACTGTCAGGAAATTTCTCCTTAGTCCTCAGTTGGTCCTCTCCTTGATTAGTTTCCATCCACTGCTTCTTGTTCTGGTTCAAGTGCTTTGGAGAATAGGTTGACCACCACCACCCCTTCCTTGTGGCAGCCTCTCAAATATTGGAAGACTGATATCATGTCACCCCTAGTCCTTTTTTCATTAAACTAGACATACCCAAATTCTGCAACCGTTCTTCATATATATGAGTATTTTTTATGATTCTGTGATTTATCTAATTATATAAAACAATATAGAATAATATACCAGTAATTTTTTAAAAGCTAATAAAATAAAACAATTGTGATTTGGGGAGAGATTTTGAATAAAATATTCATTTAAATTGGCTCAAGAAGATAAACAATTAAGCTGAAGTTATTCTGAAGTCTTGGTGAATTCCATAATAAAAAAAGTAAAGAGGAAACTCTGTAACTGTCCTTACATAACCCCACAGCCTTGAATAATGGCCCCTTTTATTCAAAGCATCATGATCACTGCCTGCTTCATAGCACAAATTTTTTATAATGAATTGTAATATTGAAAAGCTGAAATTTCTGTTCAAGTTTATAAAGTTGAATATGTATTTTGGATAATTCAACAATACTTATTTAAAAAAAGAAATCAAGAAAAGAAAAATTGGGGGAGCCTTTAATTCCCAACTATAAGTTGCTCTGTCAATCTTTTACAAAGACAACATTTCATGGTCAACTTTAATCACTATACTACAGAATTATTAGCAGTTCAAAATGAAAATGTGATGATGATGTGATATATATGACATATAATAGGAGAATAAAAATATTGGAAAGTTTGACATCTTTCAGGGATTTATGATTTATGTATAAGTCATATGTTATTTGTTCAGGAAAGGTAGCTAAATATAGCATAACTACATACACACATGCCAAGAAAATATGTAATATATATGTAACTTTGGGTCATCCCCTCTCAATCCCACCCCCAGTGCTGAAGGGCTCTGAAGGTAGAACTTCCTCTCTGTACAGATAGTCCTTGAATTATGACAGAAATTGGGACCAAGGTTTCCATTGCTAAGTGGTTGTAAAGCATGACATCACATAACTGCATCGCTTAGCAACTGAAATCACAGAAGTCCCAGTTGCCATCATAACCCCATGCAGCTTATTGAGAATCTCACATGACTGTGACCTGGTGTCCCAGGAAATCAAGCCAGCAGGTGAGAGCTAAGGGCCAGAAATAGGTGACACGGGTGGGCACTAGGGAGCATGGGGTTTGGCATGGTGTGGGGCTTGAGGCACAAGTCAGCAGTCTCAGCCCTCTGTTGTACCCCAGCCCTCTACTTCACACTCCAACATCAGCCAGAGTGCTTCCAGTCCCAGCTCCAGCAGCACTAATCATACTCAAGCCCAGGGTCACATGTGCTGGCTGGCCAGAAGCCCTGTTCAGGGCCCTCTGGCCAAATATCCAGCATCCCAGTAAGCCCCAGCAATGCCAGCCTATCTCTAAGCTCCAGTGCTGTGGAAACCCATACTATGACTCAAACTCCTTAATGCCTGCTAGCACCACCCACCATCCTGCCCACAGCTCTCACTATCCAGCCTGCTTGACTGAGACTTCCACTTTTTCCCAGTCTAAGAAGAGAATGAAGGTCAGTTGGGGTCAGCAAAAGGGATGGCACAGCAGGAGGCCAGATGCAAATACAGGTGGACATGAATTTTTTATCATATGCTCATGGGAACACCGACAGCCAGAGCATCGAGGACCAGTCATACGTTCTTTTTCCCCCCAATTTTTAAATAGTCACCAAATGAATGGATGGAACTTGAGGACTACCTGTCCCAAAGGTACTTTTTAAAGAGGCAACTGGACTTTCTGATTTTTCTTTGAAGATGTTTCGCTTTTCATCCAAGTTGCCAGCCCCAATTAGATGGTTAACCTATAATAACATCCTTGAATCAATAGATAGGAGATGATATAAGAATTCATATCAATGGAAAAACAGCATATCAACAAGCTCTTTGCAGATGTAAAAAAGAGCTTCATTCCAATATCAAATAAACCAGCAGAGAAACAGGTTTTAAAATGGTTTTTCTTCTGCTTTATCAATTACATCGATTTCAGTATTTGCCTTTTTCTCAGCAATCCGGCATAGGTAAAATTTAAAGCTAAGCAGGTGTATAAAACTTCTGGAGGGCGGAGAAAGACACTTCATTTTCAAATTTCAAATTTTGTGCTACAGGACTGTAGCACATGGGGCTAAGACAAACAACCATTTTTCATTTCACTTCTCATTTCTTTTCATGGATTGATTAGTTTTTCCCATTGGTTGTATTAAAAGTTAACATTGAACAATAATAAAATTGTGCAACCACAGTTTTGGGGAGTCCGCAATCCTAGAGCTTCTGCATCTGTGTCCCAAAGGAACGGGTAGTAAAAGGTACTTTATTATTTATTTCAATGTATACTGCCACCCATCTTAACATTGTGACTCTGGGTGGTGAACAGCAATTAAAAACATGAACTATCAATTACATTCACATATACTGTATAATTCGTAGCCAAAGTTAAAATCATCTGAACCATCAATTCAACCATCCTATAGACTCTTTGACGTATTCCACAACCATGTCCTATGACCGTGATGGCGAACCTATGGCAGATGTGCCATAGACCGTGATGGCGAACCTATGGCAGATGTGCCGGCACGCGAGCTGTCGCCCCAACTCAGTTCCACTGCGCATCCATGTGCGCCTCCCACCAGCCGATTTTCAGGTATCTGCCACACATGCGGGAGACATATGCACATGCGCAGGGGGCAGGGATCGTGCATGCATTGCATTATGGTGCAGGCACGCATGCACATGCATGTGTGCACTTTCGGCATCCGACAACAAAAAGGTTAGCCATCACTGTCCTATGGCATAACCAGGTCTTCAAAACTGTATGAGAGGCCATCAGAATCTAATATCCATTGTGCCAGATGCTAGATTTGAATTACTCATGTTCACATAAGTATTCACAAAGTTCTGCCCAGTAGCATTTATCGTATTTTTCGCTTCATAAGGCACACTTTTTTAAAAAGAAAAGTGGGTGTAAATGTCTGTGCATCAGTGCCAATCCTTTGGTGAATAGCAGCCAGGCTGCAGTGGCTGGGTCCTTTTACAGTGCTGAACTCCGCCTCTTCTGTTTTTGTCACTGCCTGCC